AATGCACTTGCTCCACCTCTTGTCCACTTGTATTTCTGCAAGAGCAATTGCTTTATTGCTATGTATGTTTATGCCTGCTTGCTCACTCCTAGCATAGCCAGTACCGCTGCCTTCTGAACAGATCATGGAAAGCACAGTCAGCAGAGTTCAGGAACAGCTGGAGAACCACACATCTGAGCTAAACAACTAGCTCAGCTTTAATCATAGGTAGTGCACCAGCGTTACTGAGAGCCTGACAAGCATCTGTCAGGAAAGTAGGATTCACTAGGTAGTTAAATCCACCAGCAGTGCATCCCCAATTTAGATTATGGGATTAATAGCAAATGCACATTCCTCCTTTCCAGCACTTCTGCTAGGTTAGCATCAGGAACAAGAAGGAAAAATGCCTTTAAATGAAAGGGAAAAACACTGACTAAACAGCCCTGGCAGCATCAGGATCAGGATTTGATACGAAATGGAATAAGTATTTCACTGTATAATTGATACCAAATTAAATTAGTATTTTACTGTATATAGAGTCTTTGATACAGACTAAGGCTACAAGGATTCCTGAAGTAGTATTTCACTGTGTATAGAGTCTACAAGGATTCTCAAGATAAGGAAGGCATGCAACAAGAGGACCAGATGTCTTCTCTCAAAACAGTGTAGGCCTTCCTCCTGTTGATAAGGCCCAAGAAATAGGTAAACAGCTGCAAAAGAAAACAACATGAAGAGCCTCTCAGGGTCATGAATTAGACCAAACAAGAACATGTAGTTAATTGGAAAGACTAAACATGCATTCCAATGTCCTTAATTAACAGATTTCTATAAGGGGATAAAATGAGTAGGAGTGTTTCTCCCAAACAACCACCAAGACCCCCCGAGACCACTACTCAAAATTCACAGCGCCTTCGTCTGCCTTATCTACCCAAATTACCATGTGCATGAATAACAAGAATTGGGTGGGCATGAAGATATATAAGCTGTAAACTGTCTCTTCTCAGCGTGCATGATAAGCAGAGCCATCCCCCCTGCAGCTGGTAGCATAGTAATGTTGGTTTCTAACTTATCATTCTGGGATCCCCAAATGGGTCCCTGCATCAGATCAGCAGACTGGAGGAACTGCTAGAGCTCCAGCACACATCGAAGTATTTTCGGGGAGGTATTCCAGTTCCGTGGTCTGGTGAGTATTCCATACATTTCCCTTTTGGAAATAGGTAAAGACATTACTTTAAGGTTTTTGCCTGCATCTAAGTTGCACTCAGCGATAGTTAGTACACAGTGCTGGGCTAAAAAGGTTTGGTACATTTGATAAAGCTGTACACTACTACAGAGACAGCCAGAGTACAGCTCAGTTTGTGGAATTTTGGGCACTACAGTGGGTGGTGCAGGGCAATCTTGGCAATCTCAAAGGGAAAGGATTCCAAAACTTCCTTTGGGCACCACAGTGGGTGGTGCAGAACAATCTTGGCAATCCTGAGGGAAAGGTATTCCAAACGGTTCTCCTTTAGGTTGTATTCTAAGGTACTGGAAGAAGTTTGGGGGTGACCTCTTGACATGTACATTGGTGGCCAATATATAAGTTGAAAGGTCATGAGAAAAATGTTTTGTTAACGGAGATGTTGATTATGATTTTGCAATTGATGCTGTTAAGTGAAGGAAGGTGAAGTGGAATGCATTACTGTATGTCCATTTATTCTTTGATTTGCAGAATGATTTGGATTTGCTAAAGAAATGGATGCATATACCTAGAGAATCCTATGGTATTAGCATTAGAAAAGGATAACAAGCAGCTGCTCAAGAGATGTTGCTCTGTATACAGTGTTGGTAAGCAGTGTATTAAACATAGGCAGGAAGAAACAGACACGGAATTATGGATTCAGCTAAAAGTTAAAACAAGGGAACAGGGAGGAGACAGATTTGGGCTCAGAGAGGGAGGAAAGCTACTACGCTGGAAGTGAGAGCTTTAGCCCCATCGTGAGGAGAACAAGGAGAGGTGCTCCCCTAAGCATTCACACCCCGTTACGCCAAGGAGTAAGGGCAGAGGGACTGGCGATTATCCAAGTGGCATTTTCTGTGTCAGATTTACAAGCTTGGAAAGAGTTAGCCGGGACCTATAGGGAAGATACTGAGAAAGTATCTAAAGTGATAGAGACGATTATTAGAACACAAGACCCAGACTGGAATGATTTACAATACTGAATACTTTGGTAACATATAATGAGAAAAATACAGCACTGGCAAAAGCAAGAGGCAGAAAGGATCCTTGTGCAGAAGGCCCAGCTGGGGTCAGTGGACCACCACTTCCCCTCCACAGACCCTAAGTGCAATCCAAATGTTCCAGCTGAATAGGATCTATTAACCAGGTATCAATGGTTGATTTTGTTTGGAATGAAACACACAATTCCTGAAGAAAATAATTATATCAAGTAGTACAGGGGAAAGGGGAATCTCTGCCTTGTTATGAAAGACTTATGGCAGTGGCTAGGAAGTATATTGCTATGGACCCTGAAAAAGATGATGATGCAGCACAATTATTGAATAATCAAATCCAGATATTAAACACAAGCTGCAAAAACTGGAAGGTTCCAGTTCTTGGTATCTCAATAAACTGCTGGAAACAGCTTGGAGACTGAACAATAACAGAGAAGTCAAAAGTGAGAGGGAAAAGAAGCAAAGGAATAAGACAATTGTTGGCTATAGCTATCACATAGGAAATCAGGAAAGGGGGAGGATGGCCCAGGAGGGAAGGGTCAGGAATAAGGATTACATGGAAATGTTTGCGAACAGACTCCATGGGTTCACTGAGACAAGGATCAGGGTACAATTTGTAAACAGAGGGGGGCACTGGAAGAGAGAGAATGCCCTGAGTCAAAATAAACACCAAAGATTCAGTGAAATGTCAGGACAGGCAGTGAAAATGATTAGTTTAGAAGAAGACTGAGGAGGACTTGGGGAATATCTGAAATCCTAGGTTCAGAAATTATTAATAAGGTAAAATTTCCAGTAGACACGGGAGCTACCTATTCTGTTATAAATACTTGTAAAGGCCAATTAAGCAAACAGCTCCAGTCATTGGTGCTCCAAGCAGAAAGAAAACTGGCCTTTCCTTCAGCCTTTAAAATTGGCAAATGGATGTTGACCCACGTGAGTGCCTCATATAAGCTGTTATTAGGTAGGGCACACTGAGTAAATCACATGCATAGATTACATTGAAAGAAGTAAAAATCCAGATACACATTCCTGATGAAAAGGCTGCGGAGGCCCAAGTTTTTATGTTACAGAAACCAGCCACCAAGCCGGATATATCAGAAGAAGTGGAGAACGCAGTCACCCCGCTGCGGTGGGTTGCTGGAGTACCAAGATGATCAGACTATCTGTCCGAAACCAAACGTCAGACCAGTAAGACAGAAGCAATATCCTATAAAACTGGAAGCAAGAACAGGACTAAAGCCTCTAATAGAAAAATGTTATTGAATATTTTGGGACAAAAATGGACTGTATTTGTACCTCACATGGTTAACAACCATCCTAGCATGGAAAAGCAGTCATTGGCTTTCCCCAAGCAGGCTGTTAAAAATATCAGGCTGTGCATTTGGACCAAGAGAATGTAGAATTGAAAGTAGCTAACCTTCTGAACCCAACAGTGTATCTGACAACCAATCCAGAAGCAGGAGAGCTGACTCACAACTGATTGCAGACTACTGAGCAGGTGTATTTCAGTTGGACCAAACTACAAGCTACATCCCTAAAGGACATGGACATCCACAGCTGTTTGTGGACGGTAGAAGCTTTGTGAAGAATGGCAACTGTAAAGCAGGATACACTGTGGTAACCAACATTAGGTAATAGAGGGTAAAGCCCTGGCCCCTAACACATGAGCGCAGAACACAGAGCTGATTGCACTACTGAGAGCTCTGGAATTGTCAGAAGGTAAAATCATTAACATATGGAAGGACTCAAAGTTTGCTTTCAGAATTATTCACGCCCATGGGGCCATACGAAAGGAAAGGAGGTTATTAACTTCCCAGGGTCCCCTATAAAATATGGGCAAATAACACAGGAACTGCTAAAAGGAGTCCAGGTACCCTGAAAAGCAGCAATAATGCACTGCAAGGCACATCAATCCAGTGCCTTGATGTCATCGCCTTGATGACAAAGCCGCCAAAGAAGCTGTAGGTGGGGACCTTTTATTAATGTTGCCTATTAAGTATCGTGCTTGGGTAATAAAGTTCCAAGTTATCAAACAGAGGATGAGAAATGGCAAGTCTCTTAGAAGCCAAGAAGAATAATGAAGGATGGTGAGTTACACCAAACAGGCAAGCAATAATTCCCCAGCCAAGGATTCCCTTAGCAATCCTTAACACTCAAGTTTCACAACAAACAGTAACAAAAATATCTGAACTATGCAGTTTACAGTGGTTTCACATATGTATCCTACCTTATTCTTTCTGTAACCCACTTTTAGTGTTTACAAAACAGGTAGGTACAAAACAACCCCCTGTACTCCTGACTGCAGTATATCCAACCATCTGCTGGAACCCACCAAACATTTAAGCATACAGCAGCACATGACAGAAAAAAAGGGGATAAGAATTGCATTCCTTTCTACATAGTATAATTCACTTTCATGGAACAGCTTCCTATACGGAGTTTCCGAGAGAAACCTTCTGGGGGAGCACTTCCACACCCTCAAAATAGTAGTGCTTCTTTTCTATGTGAAAAGCAAGCAAGGGAAACAGTGACCATTTATTTAGCTCCACTGTTCTGGAATTAAATGCTTATTTTGCTGTTCCTATGCAAGTGCCCTCATATTTTCCAACTCATACATATTCCTCTCCAGCACAACTACTTTACATGAGATGCATTTGCTCTACCACTTTTAACCTAACTGACTGCATCATGTAATCAACAACTGCTTGATGAGTTCTGGGACTCTAAAGGTCACCGTTTTACTTACCTTTCAGCCCTGGAAAGGAGACAAGAGTACGGAAGTAGAAGAAAGAATGACTGAAGCCAAGTTAAATTCCATTTCCAGTGACTTTATTGAGTTATAAAGAAACTGCCAGTTCCACCATATTTACAAAGGTTTTCAAGAGGGTTTTAGAGCTTCTACTGCTACTGATCAACAAGTTAAAAACATATAAACAAACCAAATCAACCACATCCATGATGTCAACTGTAGAAACACCAGTTACCTTAAAGGACCTTGAGGCATACTCAGATATTATCTCTAGAGCCACCGTCAAGATTCTAATTTCTTTCTGTAGTTAGCTATGCCTGAAAACCAGGCATCCTTATGCCACTGTTGATAGAAACTGGTTTCTGTTCTTCAGTATACACATTTTATGAATGAGGAATTTAATTACAGACTACTCATAAGCAAGCATTGCAAGGTGTTAAAATAATCTTGAAGAGCACAATGAAATCCCCAGCTGATTCCATTTGATGCTTCTGTAAGGTGGTATTGCTGCCAGATGTGCATGTAAAATTTTGCCAAGACTTTGACTTGATTTACTTTGGTTGTGACTCTAAACTGCCCAGGGAACTGTCACTATTTAGATCTTAAGTAGCACTGTAGAAACAGTGCCACCTGAAAACATCACACTGCTTCTCTTTTCTGGCTGTCCACTAACCTTTGAATGTAGGAAGCATTACTATTTCTTCTTGCAGCCAATTGGATGAAGTTGACTGAAAACAGGCTTTCATTCATCCACTTTTCCATTCTCCACTCCATCCCCAGAAGAGATCATGAATTCTCCGGGAGGACAGGGTATATCTTCCAGTTCAGCGGGGCTCATTCTTAAGTATATTCCAACTGCATCTCAAGTCCTGTACAAGTTCTACATTACAATACCACAATGCCTAAGAGATAAGGACACCAAGGCCTGTAAGCTCACACATCTGGATACATGCAGTTCCCACCGGTAACAGTTGGCTCTGCTTGCCTTGTTAAGAAGTCTACAGTGATTTTCACTTGATGCTGAACTTCACACATTACTCAGTGTTGGGGAAACAATCTAATCACTTGAGTGCCAGTGGCTTTCCTCAAGGCGTTGACAGGTGAACATTTGCTGATCAACAATCCAACTCCATAACACTGACTTGAAAAGTATCAATTAAGATTAGCAATTATTCCTTTCTGGGATTTTAGTTTTCTGTGCATGGAGTAAATCAGTATCAAATGGAGTATCAGGGCAGCTACTAATAGTAGTTCAGAGAAAAACAACACTGAAATATCCTTGCTTGTAAAAAGCAAGGGGAAACCTAACAGCTTTATGTTTAAAAAAAAAAAAAACAAAACATGTAACTTCACTCCTACCACAAGGGCTACAAAAAACAAAGCCAAAGAGAAGCCCAAGCATCATTCATAAACTACCATCTAGCAAGAAATATTTTATGGAGTATGTGCTACGCTAATGCGAGGCAGCATCAGACCTGGAAAGTCTACTTCCATATAGAAGGGAGACTGTCAGAGGCACATCACACTCACACTGCTCTCCTCAAAGGAAAAAAACACTCATGAAGTAAGCTACAGAGGTGCTCACTACAAAGAAGCAGCTACTCTAGGATTTTAAAAGCTTACGCTGTCATCATACCACAGGAATTCTCATCAACTTGTCTTGAGATTTGTAGATAGGCCATGCTGAAAACACATTCAGCTCAAACAGTGTACACACAAGTTCCACCCATGTTGGTAACTGAGGTCAGAATAAGGTCAGGTTCAGGTGCTGAGACACTGGGTCAGATCTGACTTTAAGTAACAGTTTCATATTTGTAAGGTTGGAGCAAGTCTTCAAAAGTAGTATTATCCTGATCCTTGTGTACATAAAAAGAACAAACTGCCAAACATGCTACACCACACCCAACCAGTGAGAACCGTTTGAATTTAGTGACAAACATAACAGCAAGGCAGGAATTAAGCCATGGTTTTGAGGAGAGTCTTACACATGCACACTTTCAGGCATGGCAGAATACCCTTCCCAACCAGCATGATGGCTGGATGTGCTGCACCCAGTAACATTCCATATATGCCTTATGCATCTTTTCCACCATCCAGAGAAATTGATACAGAGAATGCCACATAATATTCCTGTGGAACATTTATTAAGAGACCCTTACAACTCAGGAAAGCTTAAAGGGGGATTTTCCTATATTCAGTTTTACTGAGGTAAGCAGGAATTATTAACAACTTGACCAAGAGGTGATCAAACCTCTAGTACATGTCACTTGAGTGTTTGTTTCAAAGCTATTCAGGTCACTCACTAAGTGATCATTTAAACAGTAAGCAGGAAACCTTTGTGCTTAGTTTGTGGACTAAAGTCTGAGTTAAATCCTATTATTTCAAGCTAGCAAAATGCAGTCATGCTAGGCTTTGCAAAGATGGTGGAGGAAAAGGGATTCCTTCTAGGTTCCTTAAAAACTGGACTACAGTGTAAAAACACAGCTATGGTAACTATAGCAGTCAGAACACCTCTACAAAATTTTCTGGACATGCACTGACCTTGGAAGACTCTAAATAACAAAGGCAAAGAGTTATACAGCTGAAAGTGTTCTGAAAGACCAAAGGAATTCCATCCAGAACAAATTGTCATGGCCAGTGACACAGAAGAATCATACTGGATAACTCAACTCAGGGCCATTTTATCACACTGTATAAGTTTTAGTGCACGGAATAACCTGGAGTTATTCAGTCCAGTAAACTGGTGCTTTTCCCCCTAGATTAGGACTGATGACCAGTAGACACCAGCAATAACTCTTCATTTCTGTACCAGGCCACCCTCAATCCTAGATGTGGGGCAGACTGCTCTGCAAGTTTGCATTACCTGAATGATCTCTTGATTTCTTTTTTCCGTGTCCATAACCTCATGCTCAGATCTAAATTGCAGTTTTTGAGAGGCAGAGGGTAAATCTACCAACCTGAGACTCAACAACTCTCCCAATTATTTGTGCTTAAAATTGAGACTTCTACACAGTGCAACCTAGCAGTCATACACAAATGTTGGAAAGAGCTGTGTCTGTGGGATTTTACTTCTCAACAGCTTTTACTTTCCCTTGATCTTCCACTTTTTTGATGGCAGCTTGGATAGCTTCTTGATCACCCAGAAACTGGTGAGGGCCCAGAGGGCGCAGATTCTCATCAAGTTCAAGAAGTATGGGCACACCAGTGGGGAGAGTAACATTGATGATGTCCTCATCAGAGATGCCTGTCAAACAAAAACAAACAAAAAACACAGTTACACAAAGTGAGCAGCTTCCTAATCAGTCTACCTAGCTCAGCCTTATATCTGAGATTATCCAGTCTTAAAACAAAGATACATTCCAGCCTCCATCGACACCAACACTCAATGGTCAGTTTCTTATCTAGACTGTGAAGCCCTTGGTCAGGGTAAGTGCTACTCAGCAACAACTAAAACACCAGTGTGTCATTAGCTAAGTAGCCAGTACCAAACAGCCTCTCTAAAAAGGCAGGATACCATGGTTAATTCTTCCTCTTAAATTTTCTATGCAAAGCTTCTCACACAAGCTGTCTTCAAAATCAGTATTTAATTCTTCTAGTGTAAAGATCCCTGTTTGCCCACATCTGGTTTCTCATAAGCAAGTTTACAGCATCATGCATACAGTACTATTCTCAGAATTAATAGGCTATTCATTTCCTCTTTCAAATGAGGGAGAGGGAAACAAAGAAAGGGTAAAAAATACACAACCTGGAGCCTTTTCCACTTCACTGAAATAATGCGTACCTGGGGAGAAAAATTATTCTACCCAGCTCTGTTTAATTAAAATAGTCTGGGGCTTTAATATCAATGCATGGCTGGTCAAACATCTCTAAAGCATCCAAGTGAATATTGAGACCAGCTTCCTAGTAAAGCTCCTGCACAAGGTCTACACAGTTGCATTAAGAAGCAGTGGCTGCAAAGACAGTATTCTGCAAAAACTTCAGGCAAAAGAAAGCTAATGTCATCGGAAAAGGCAATATTTCACACACATCCCCCCCCCACACACACACCACCACCACTTTTTTAAAGCACTGAGGTCACAGCAGCAGCCTGCTGTTGTAAAACAGGACAGCTTCAAGTAATTCATGCTTAGAAAATGCACACACTCAAGCTTCTAAAATGATGACACCATATAAATGAGACCAAGGTGCATGAAGAAAACATCCTCTTGAGCAGCTGACAAAACAGATGGTTTTCAGAACACATGGGTGCAAATTTGCCAGCAGTTTACACATTAAGTAGAAAAGCAGAGCAAACATACAGCAAAACCCACAGACACAGAGTCAAGCCACTTAGCAACAGTTGGATGACAACAGGTCAGAAAAAAATGGAACTGATCATGAGGCAAGAATCAGTTTATGCCCCTGCACAGACACTACTTAAACATGCAACTTCTGCAGTGACCTATTCCTGTTTTGATTAGCTTAAGCCCTTGCTTCGGGCTGTAGATGAGTCCCAAGATTCAGGAAGGCACAGAGCAAGAGAAACAGACAAACCCTTCCCAGAAGCTTACACCTTCTTGTATACTGAGGTACCAGCCCATTAAAAGTCACACTGTCCCAGTTCAAGCAACCCCTGTAATACAGGCGTAAATAATTTTCCTGTTGCAGTCAGCAGAATCAGACCTACAGAAAAGAACTCAAGCAGCTTCTAAAAACTTGCATCCACACAGATATTAATGGGAAAATCCTGAGTCCCTTTACCAGGCACAAGCACTCTTCTCAAGGACTTTGGTTTTTTGGTTTGCAAAACAAGCAGCCAAGCTGCCTGAGCTTATTTCAAGGATTCTTAATCATACTAGATTTTAGCAACATACACACATCACCATGTAGCCACAGAGAATCTGGCCCCAGGAAGTGCTCTGCCCACCTCAAATTCAGTCTCTCAGACTAAACCATTCAGATCTACACAGCAGATGAAGTCATGCAGGAGAATTCAGGCAAACCACATACTGTGGTCAGAAACCAGAATATTTAAAGGTTTCCTCTAAAGACAGATTAAACAAAACTAGCTGTAGCTACACAGATTCAGAAATGCAGTTTACTGTTTCTACAGAACACAAAGTGACCACACTGATGTCAACTAGTATTAATTTACAAAGCAGAACAGTGCAGTCTAGGATAAACCAGCTGCAGTGAGCACGTTGCCTTTCTCCTCAGGATTCTTCCTCATACAGGAACATTGTCTCATAGCCAGCAGGCTAGAAATGCAAGACAGATGAAAATTCTAAAGACATTCTGAAGTATCCTGTTGCTTTATTTCAGCACTGTTGCTGTATTTGTATAGCATTTCTGGTCTTCAGGAAGCAAGGAGCTTATCAGGCTTGTCACACAAGCTCTTCAAGTTGCAGGCAAAACACATAGAGCCTTGCAGGCTAGGAGGACAGTAAAGAGATCCCATATTACACTTCAGCCATCACAAACATGAGCTAACTACTATCTAGTTACTTCATGTACTGTAACTATAGCCAAGTGACCTTTTCTTGCACTTCATCTGAGCTGGTCTGGGTCATAACCCCACCCTATTTCAAAGGGAAGAAGGGTGAAATCAGGGCAAGGACTCAACTGCTGACTACAAGGTACAATGGGAAATAAGACTATTGAAAAAGGAACACTGAGCCTGGGTCACAGCATTGATGAAGGATACTGTGTTACTGGAAACAGTTTAAAACCTGCTTACAACCATGAGATCCCACAGACATCACTGAAGGACTCAGGATGCCTTCTTCAGAACTGATAAAATGCTGTTCAGGCAAACTCCATTCCTGAAGGGGACATCTCCCACATTCTCTCATAAGCACTTACTAAACATCATTCCTAAACAGTAGCAAGCAGTTTGGTACATGAACACTAAGAATTTGGTACAGCACTTATTAAAAGATCTTTTAACATCACATTCAGAATTCTTTCCAAGCTCACTTATGCTCCATCTAACTGAACTGGGTTATCAGACACACAGACCAGTAATATTTCTGTGCAAGCTTAAGATTTCACCTTTACCTGGTAACCCGTGAAGTGCTTTGAAATACTTGCAGCCTGTAAAGTCCTACAGAGACAAAACCCATCTGGCTTGATTTTGATCACTACAGCCTGCTTCTGTAAGGGCTGGCTCAGCTTCTTCTGCCCTCTCACCTGTTCTTACAAAGTTCCTTCCTTCCATTCTTATGGCCAAAACAACACAAAAAACCCAACAGCTGTTGAGAAGAGTTACACACCTCCTCCCCTGCATGTCAACTACACTTGAGGCCAGCTGATTCACCCAGCAAAACAAGATCTATGTATAAATTCAGCCACAATGGGCTTGTTCTAGAACTGGTACTTTGTAATTGAGATCCCAATCAGGTCATCGCATGCTTCCCACAACGTTAATGAAAATACCAAAGCTTTAGCCTAATAAATTAAATATTCAGGGCTAGATTCTGCCCTCTTGGCAGAGGACCTAGTAGGTTACAAGAGGGCGGGCACCTGGCATTCAACCAAGGTCAATTCACCACAGTGAGGCACCAAAAAGCACTGGAAAGGGGATTATCCCTGGCTGGACACAAGGGGACCACCAAGCTGCTCCATCACTCCTCTCCTCAGCAGGGCAGGTATGGAGAAAGTAAGATCTAAACAACTCATGGGTCAAGATAAGGGCACTTTATTATAAAGCACAAGCAAAGGCTGGACACAGAAGCAAAGGAAAACAAAAGATTTACTCTCTACTTCCCATCAGCAGGCAATGTCCAGCCACTTCCAAAAAGCAGGGCTTCAGTATGCGTAGTGGTTGTTGCTCCAGAAGACAAATGCCATATGGGACACTGCTAAGAGACTCAATCTGAAGTATCAGTTTGATACTTCAGGTAAAAGAGAAAACGATCCCTTCTTCAAAGAACTAAGAAAAATCACCTGTAAATAGATCCTGTGCATCTAGGAGGTGACCAAGATCAGTTACAGGTCATGGTCCACACCAATAGGTGTCACAGTTGCTAAGATATGACGAGATACTTCCCCCGCAAACACAAAACTGCTGCCTGAAGAAAAAGTTACTTTTAGAGAGCCTTTCCAAGCCTAGCAATATATAATGAAAAGTGTCCTCTCACTCTCCCAGTTTTCAGTTGTGCCAATGATTCCTGGCATCACCACATACATCAGCTAAAGATGATGCAAAGAGTAAGTGTTCTGAAAGGACTGGGTCAGCTCAGTTACAGACTTACTTTGATGTCAACACTGTTTCTTCACCAGGACTGTAGGAAGCAGCCCTGCTTGGCCTTGGTGGCATTTATCAAATGCATAGGGGTTACCTAGAAGGAACACAGCCCAGCATCCCCACCAGACACCAACAGCTCATAGCACTGATGTCTTCAGCAGCACCATCTAGGAGAAACATCACTTAGCCCCACCAGGAGAGAAGAACAAGCTCTCAGAGAAGCTGCTGTTTCTGATCTTCAAGTACATACAAGAATATGGTCTAGTTTGCATTAAGTACTGTTTTCAGAAAGACTATGGAGGTTTCATTTAAGTCCTCACATGCAAACATGACAAATAGTACAGATATTTCATATATCATATTTCAGTTTATTTCATATAATGAGGTCCACTCTGGGCACCTAGAAAATAAGAACAAAATCCAAGCCCACAGTCAAAGCCATATTAGCCCAATATTGTTAGTTTGATGATTTTTGCGTGCAAGTTAGAAAGCAGATCTACATTTCAAGCTCTTTACTTAACAATGAGAACATTCAGGTTCAGAGAACTGCAGGCCTGTTTAAAAAAAAAAATCCCGCAAAAAGGTAACTTCAAGAATACTCCAAAGTCTTTCAGAAAAGACATTAAATTTCACACTGAAACAACTAGAATTGTCTCATCAGATCACACTGATTGAAAACATTTATATTTACTGCCATTTAAAGTTTCTGAGCTACATCTTCCGAGACTGAGTTATCCCCATGACTAAGACAACATTCAAGCAATCATGTACGACTGCTGCTTGAGGCATTTGAAGCCCCATTTTCTGAAAGCCAGAAAACATGGCTCCAGCTAAGACAGAGGTGCCTAAAAACTTCCACTCAACTGCAAGACATACCAAGCTTTACAAAGTCCAGGAAAACAAAGCCCACCTCACAGTGGGTGCTATAAATACAGTAGCTGACAAACTAAGCACTGTTGAACCGGGTCCAACTAAAGCAGGGCCCCAGAGCAGCTCACAACCTTTCAGAAGGGAAAGGGACAGTCATCAACACAAACAAGAAACCTCTCAGATACAACTAGATACAGGCTGGAGCTCTTAAAAGAAAAAGAGCAGGTTGCAATAACAGGGGTCTTAAAGCTCTGTTTCTGTGAACCTTCAGGCCAGCTCTGCAGCAATCAAAATCTTCACTGCATGAACAGCAGAAAAGCCAGTATGTATGGGGCAATTACTCCTGGGGCAATTACAGCTGGGGTAGCTGATGGACAATCCTCAGCCAAAAGAATTAGATCCTCTGCCACGGATTCCTCACATTTCCCTATGTAAGCACATGCTGGAAGGGACAAGGTATGGCGTAGGATAGACAAGAGACACACAGCTCTATTCTACTTTGGTTGAGTGTGGGCATATACCTGACTGTTTCAAAGAAAAGCTTTGCAGCTGCTCTAACTTACACTGCTCCCTGATCTCAATGCAGCAAGGAATCCAGCCATGCTAACTTTAAATTAACCTTTACCAGCCACTGACGCTGTTGGCTCTGGCCGTGGTGCGTGCCTGTACAGAAGGTGACCCACAGTTTCTGCATTCCACCCCCAAAGGACTTGGCCAGTAAGGCTTCACAGAAGTGGTTCAGTTCTTGGGGGAGAGGGAGTGTGGGCGGGTGTGGAGAATTACCATGGTTGCAGATCCCCCTGCCCTTTTTTCCTTTATAACACTTAATCATTTCACATAGTGTAGACAAACACCCTGACCACATCAGTGGAACTGCCTGAACCAGCCTTCCTCCTTCATCAAAGCAGTACCCCAGAATTCACAGACTCTATTCCAGAAGCCACTATTGCATGGTTTTTCCATAGGTTTCTGACCTCTGCTAAAGCATCAGCTACCCTGTTACAGTGTGCCTGGTTGCAAAACGTGTTCAGCACTCAGAGCTGTAGAAGCACACACCAGAGAGTTTTATACTAAAAACTTGAGTGAACACAATACAGTCCATGCATATTTGCAACTACAACTCTAACAGGCTGCATTCATACATATATAATCACCAAATAGTACTCTACCCACAGACAAAGAAATTAATATAGTCCATCTACCAGTTTAGGATGACCTAAACTAGAAGACATGCCAGAGAAGAGGTGGGGGAAGAATCCAGCAATGACTTAAAGGTAAACCACATCCTTTTCAAGTCCCAATTAAGCAACCTCATGGTAAGCTACCAAATTAGCTGTTTATTGGTATACATTACCTATATTGGGAAACAATAGTATTTGCATAAGCTTTAGCAAGTACCTACTCTCTGCAGCACTCCCTGTCACAGAAGCTTTTTAAAGTAAAGAGTTATCAGGAATGAAGCTTCAAAAGTGACCCACCACAGTAACAGTCAAGAATGTCTTCCACAACATAACACAAGCATTTTCCTGACGCTTTACAGCAATGGTTGTTTAATGAACAGATTACAACTTCAGCCCTTCCAACAAAGCAGCTGAATAAATCCAAAAATAGTTAGAGCCTAAGGAGTTTTGTCTATCTAGACCAACAACAAAGTAGGTTTTAACACAGTAAGTTAAAATAAGCAGGGAGAAACATCTAGCTTGATGCTAGGTGAAAGCTTCTAGCTCTATTCTTAACTACATTAACCTAACCAATTCTCTCCCTCTTCCACATACCCCAGTTTGATTCCTGCTCCAATAAGCCATCTTTTTTATTTTCCCCTTGGAGACCACAGACATTGTGTTACACCGTCCAGAGTAGTAATACACACTACAGAACAATATGTAAAGCTCTAAGCAGCTAAGGAGAAGAGGGAAAGGCTGAAACGAAGACCCTTACCTTGCACGTGCTTCAGCAATGCCCTGCTGCTGTTACCATGAGCAGAGATAAGGATCATCTTGCCACTTTTCAGTTCTGGCACTATCTTTTCATTCCAATAGGGAAGGAGTCTATCAAGCACATCTTTTAGGCTTTCAGCCCTCGGGAGATTATCCTGAGAGACATCACTGCACTTATACCGGCGATCATTGTATATCTCTTCATAGAAAGGATGAGATTCGGTTATGGGAGGTGGAGTAACATCATAGCTTCTCCTCCATATTTTCACTTGCTCCTCCCCATGATTCAGAGCCATTTCTGCTCTATTGAGACCGATCAGAGCACCATAGTGACGTTCATTCAGGCGCCAAGAACTCTGCATGGGGACCCACTCTTGGCCCATTTCTTCTAGGATAAGCCATGCAGTCTGGATGGAGCGGCTGAGTACAGAGGTGAAGACGAGGTCGAATTCAAAGCCCAGTGCTTTAAGGTGTTTGCCACAGTTCTGAGCTTCCTTTATCCCATCACTGCTCAGCCTCTGGTCCACCCAGCTGCAGAAGCGATTCTCTTTGTTCCAGGCTCCTTCCCCATGTCTTAAGAGAACAAGCCTGTACTTAGCCATCTTGGTTGCAGCTTAGCACTGATGACAACTGGTCTGGCATCTAATAATGACCCATCTGGACAGAGACATGAGACAGATTCATCAAACATCCCACAGATCATGTACTGCAAGTAGTAATATGGCAGCAAAGAATAGTCAACTATCAATCAAAACAACTAAAGAAACAAGCATCTGTTGAGTATGCTTTTACCTTTGAGGTCTCCTGGCTTTTAATTCCTTCCCAGCTTCATGTGGGTGGAAAATAACCACCCTCTACCCAACCTGTTGCAACTACTCCACTTAACCAATTGATTAGTTGCAGATTTGTACAACCTGTTCCTGCCTACAGATTTCCTTCCCATGCTTAAACAGAGCTCCAGTGAATATCAGAGGTTACCTACCAGAGAAGCAGATCTCACTCTCACTGGTGAGCTTAGAAGTGAGACATGGAGTCCAAGCTCCCCAGGCTCACACTGGCTCCTAGAGAATGTGTATTTGCTGTCCTCATTAAATAACAGCTACATATTCATAAGGTCAAACAGCACCTTTCTCTGTTCCTGTTGACTAAACACCACCATCTGTGGATTGACTTCAATGGAAGATGGATTTTGACCACTCTCACACAAGCTTTTGCAACATGCTGAAATGTGTGATGCCTGAAAGGTCCATCTGACATAGCACTGCAACTCTAAAACCTCCATCTGATCATTCTGATTGGTCACAGACTAAACAGCAATGGACAAGGGGAGAATACAGAAATACAACTCTGCACTGGGAAGAGTGCTGTATACTAAATGATTATGAACATCAAGTATTTTCAAAACTGTGGACAGGGGGAGTCCAAGGTCTAATTTCTGCATACCCAACTATAGACTAGATTACATAAGAAAAATGCTTATGGGAGCTCCCATGATCTCAAATCAGTCACTCCAAGTGTCTCAAACTCAAGTGCATCGTGACCATGAATTAGGCAAGTAGAATGGCTTCAGCCCATGCATGCTGGGTTTTAGGAACTCAACACAGTATCAGCCTTAATCTTTACCAGACTTTCAAAAAGTATATAAAAAAGCTGAATTCCTTAACAGCCTCAGTAATTTGATCTTGACTGTAAAGGCAGCTTAGCTCTCCTTTACTCCCACAGAAAACACTCATCACACAAGGGCACGATGCAACACCTCCCCAGCTCTAACTTCTGTCTACTCCTACAGCTCAGGATTACAAAGCCTTTGAGGACTGAGATTTTCACAGAAATATCCAGAGGTATTGTCTGACACACAACAAACAGTTGGCAAATACAAAAGAAAGTCTTCTGTGATTTCATGCCAATGAGGCCTGAACTATGTATATTACAAGGAGCATCTCAGACAAAATACCTTGCATGTTCCACTCACAATAATCAGTTGCACAGTAAGCAAAGAAATAACTATTATTAGGATTCAGGTGTCATATCACATCTAATACAATTCTAAACTACATCCCTTAAGATCCCAGATTTATAACAAAAAGTAGTATCAGATGGCATTGCCATCTAAAGCCAAAGTGATCTTTCCCCAACATCCCATAGATAGGAATAAAAGCTGCAGTGTGTTCACAGCATGAACTACTACACCAAACACAACCCCATAAACAGCTCCATCTCTGCAAACACCTCACTGTTCAGACTGATTGTACTATCCACAGGAACAATAGATAAAAGTGGATTGTGTAATTTACAAATCCAAATTAAGGCTGAATACAAAAAGTAAGACCAAAGAGTAGATGAGGGGGGGAAAAAAAAATACCAAAATACACAAAACATACAAAGACCAAATATCATCTGGAGACCATAAACTCCAGTTTCCAGTTCAGTTATATAAATGATTAGGCAGTACCACCATACCCCTTATACTGGGCACTGGTGAGGCCACACCTCAAACACTGCGCTCAGTTCGGGGCCTCTCACTACAAGAAAGACATTGATGTGCTGGAGCAGGTCCAGAGAAGTGCAACAAAGCTGATGAGGAGTCTGAAGCACAAATTGATGAGGAGCAGCTGAGGGAACTGGGGTGTTCAGTCTGGAGAAGAGAAGGCTCAGGGGCAAACCTTATCGCTCTCTACAGCTACCTGAAAGGAGGACGGAGCCAGGAGGTGGCAGATCTCTTCTCACAAGTAACAAGCAATAGGACAAGAAGTAACAGCCTCAAGCTGCACAGAAGGAGGTTTAGACTGGGTATCAGGAAAAATTTCTTCAACTAGGGGGTGATGAGGTATTGGAACAGGCTGCCCAGGGAACTGGTGGAACCACTGTTCCTGGAGGTGTCCAGAAATTGTAGATGAGGCCCTCAATGACACGGTTTAGTGGTGGTCTTGGCAATCCAGGGGTAACAGCTGGACTTGATGAGCTTAAAGGTCTTTTCCAACCTAGCTGAATCTATGATTCTCAAACAAGTTTAGAAAGGACTGGCAGTCACAGGGCTGTTTAAATATCAGCCCACTTATGGAAGTATTTAAGCTAGAAAGCCTTAGAAAAACACATGGAAATAATCCTACTCACCTTTCTTATGGCAAAGGAACAACCTACACAAATCCCAGTACAGACTCAAGAGCTCCTTTATACAGAGGCTAACACACACTCTTGGCTATGTTACCTGCAGGAAAAGAATAAACACCAAGTGCTCAGACAGAAAAAGACCACAAGTACAAATGGTTATGCCAACCATCATTTGGCTCTCAGAGCTGTAAGAAAATAGAGCACATATCCCTTGTATGAGATGGGAAAGCTACCAACTTCCTTCTCCCAAAAAATGTGAATGCACAGCTCTTGCATTCCTAACAAGGGAAACTGCTTGTCTCCCAGATGCCCCAGGATATCATTTACTCCCCAAGAGTTGTTTAGACTGCAATTACCATAGCTCTAGCACATAGAAATATACCAAAGCCTCTGGGACACCATGGAGGATACAGACAGCAGACCTGGACTCACCATAAAACGGAAGTACAGAGTCCTGGCTCAGCACAGAACAAGGTGCTCAGGATAACATCTGACACCTGCAAAGCTTGCAGCAAAGCGCAGCTTTAAGGTCTAAGTGCGAGGCAATCATTCCCAAGAATCCTTTCTCCAACCAGCTCACCTGTCCCTGTGCGATGCACCTGCGTCCAGCCTTCCCTAGAACGGGAAAGGCTGACCAGAAGCAGGGCAGCAACTCCCATGCACCCACAAGGCTGCCCAGGAGCGGGACAGCCCCTCAGGCACACAGACACGAAGTGCCTCGCAGCTACTGTCCCCTCTTAACGCGCTATCCGCCCCGAGCCCTAGCACTGTCACCCCCCTCCCGGCAAGGGACCCGCACACACAACCGGCCTGCACCCCCCGCCTCAGGGAGTCTCTCCGGGCCCCTAAAACTCCTCTCGGTAGGGACCGCCGGCACAACCCCCAGAACACCCCACCGCCCTCTTCCCCCTCAGGAAGCCCCCCACCACCGCTACCGTTCACTGCGCTCCCGCCACGCTGCCGTCTCGGCACCAGAGCGCTCACAAACTAACCCCGCGCTGCCTTACGCGGACGGCCGCAAGCACCCCGCTCTCACAAGCACCACCGCCGCGCCAGACGAGGGGCGGACCCTGCAGCTTATGAGACCTCGGAGTCGCCCAGCCCACGAAGCTAGGGGCCTTTCATTGGCTGGTCCACAAGATGAGCACCTCCCTCAGCCAATGAGACCGAGCCTACGGGCTGTGACCCGGAGAGTGGCGTGGTACCTAGGGCACGTGGTGTCCGGTATGGGCGAGCCTGGAGCCGAGCCGAGCCCAGCCGAGCCGAGCCCAGCCCAGCCCAGCCCTCCCGCAGCTCCCCGCGGGACTCCGTGTCCAGCGGATCCTGTAGGGATGCTGGTGTCGTGTCCCGCCGCCAAGCCCGTCCTGCAAGAGCAGGTAGTTCTCCTGCGAAGGGTCGCAGATGGGCAGAGATGCTGGTTCCCCCCCGTGGTTCTGGACATGGCAAGGCAGGCGGCGTTGGCGTGGGCCACCACAAGAGAGAAGTGGGGTCACGCTAGCCTGTGCAGAACACGGCCAGAGGCAGCGAAGCCGCTGACTTCTCCCGAAACCACCCCGGTCCAGCTACTGCTGCCTCAGCAGTAGATGGGCTTCGCTTCTCCAGAGCCGCGGCTGCCTTGGTCTCCGTCCACCCCGGAGCATCTCCGCCTCACCCACGGCCCTGCCGGGCATGGAGGCGGCAGTCGGGGGCAGGACGCGATCCCTAGCGCAGCCAGTGGATCCCTGCTGCTCCCCAGCCCAGAGCCTCCTCCGTAGCAAGGAAGGAGCCTAGCCTTGGGCTGCCCTCATTCCCGGGAGGTGAGGAAACAGGGCCCGGGGGCAGTCAAATGGGTAGTTTCCCAGGCAGGACTCCCTGTTTCTTCTGGCTTAAGGACCTTTTGGTTTGGTGAGCAGCAAGTGTCCAAAATCCCATTACTCATAATGAAATACACAGAAAAAGAATTAGACACGAGTCTTCCCAACAGTCATGCTAGCCACCCTCATACCCACAACCTGTAATTCCAATTCAAAGTGATCAAAACCACGTGGACAGAGCAACTCTGGCTAGAAATGGATATAAGTGGTGTGGGAAGCTGTTGTCCTTTACTGCTTGTATTGACATAGGTCTACTTTTTTAAAAGAAGCAGAGCACACCTTTTATATATAATCAGATTCACATTTTCTTCTCTAAGACCTTACCCTTGAACAGCCACAATGTAAAGGTTAAAGGGCCATAACCTGAATATATACTGAATGTGCCCTAACACCCTCTGTGTTAGGTGATTATCACCTCTGAGAGGTGATTATCCAGTCTTCATAAATTAAGATGATAGTGAAGGAAAATGGAAGATGGAGGATTCAGATTCTGATAGGAAAAAGTGACACAAGGAAAATGTAAGAAAATTTGGGGCAGTGGTGTTCAAATAACGTCTCTAAAGTGCTGTGAGGAGAAAGGGTGTTTTGTTTTGCACTTAGAGGGGTTAGAGCCTAACCTGCCAGTGGGAAAGAAGGACCAGCCAGATGAAGCACTGCTTCACTAGGCTTTCATCACAGCACAGCACCAAGTGTGCCAACTGGCAAGAGTGGCCAGGCTGTCAGTGAGCAGCTTTGTATAAATCTTTGGTCGGTTCTGCACTGACCTTGTTCCTTATTTATTTGGGAAGCTCTGGAAGGAATTCTGCATCTCAGGGAAAATATTTTCAAGGCTTTTCCAGATGATAAGAACTATGCCTTTCCTCAACAGAGAAGCACAATGAAATCTGCTGCTTCTGCAAAATATTTCCACTGGATGTGAATTGCACTTACAGTTACACATACCATCCTTTCCACCTCACCCACTAACTAAAGGTAACATTAACAATTACCTTTAGCCTCTATCAACCTTGTCTAAACCACAAACTACACTATCAAGCCAGTCCAGCCTACATAATCAAAGTAGTACTCTTAAGTTTACTGTACTGGAAGAGTTTGATTTGCCACACATCAGCTCAAACTGGTCAAGAGAAATGCTCCCACATCCTAGTGCATGATGACACACCTGCATTCACCCTGCCTCTAGTCAGATCAAACCCACCTCCTCTTGTACAAATAGACTAGTGGTACAGCTCTGAATACGAGTGCATCACAGGCAAACTGGTTGATTGGCTGCAAGAAAAAAAAACAAAGACCCTAGAGAGAAAAAGAAAAATCACTATTCTTGAGTATCAATACAATGTATTGGCTGTACTTCAACCAATAAGAATGCAATTAACAGAAGAAAACATTATATGCCAATATACAGTCATAACTACAAGTGAATAGACAGCAACTTGTGCCACATGCCAGGACCTCCATGGCCATTAAATACGGACTTCTTATCTCCATTAGTCTTTCAGCAAGACCATTTCATTAGCAGGCCAAAACCAGCCTAATGACCTTGACTGACATTTCAAACTACACAAGGATAGAAGAGTCAAAGCCATGTCCATGTGCGTGACTTCTTGCAGACAGCTACACTCATTTGGCAGCGATTATCTCCCACACCAGCTGGGCTGTGTTTTTCAGGGTCTCTGCTCTGGCACCCTTCCAGGCCATAGTGGAATGTTTATGGCCAAAACACGAGTTCATGCAACAACTTTCCTCAACACATAAATTTCCGCTGGGGCACCACTGTAACTGCACCGTACTGAAGAAAGGCCTGGAGCTGAACAAGGCAGAAACAAAACAGAACTGCAAAGAAGAAAGCCAATTAATGATTGAAGAAAACTGTGCCAACAAGGAGCTTTCTTCACTGATCAAGCCATGGTACCTTTTGATAGAATAGTTACTTTGTTCAAAGCTAGATCAAGTATTTGCCAAAGACTACCACAGACATACCCACTGTAATTTGCAGAAGACTCTGAGCTCTTTGTTTAGATCTATTTGATATAAAATGCCTTCATTAACGATTTCATCTTCCAAAGAAACTTCCGCAATCAAATCCTCACACTCTTTAGTAACTCCAAAACTTTATAATTTCCTCCTGGTTGTTTTTGTACCTCATGAATTTATGCCTTCCCTCCTAGACTTTCCCTAGTCCTTCCCACCTATGCCTGCTGACAGCATGCCCATTCTCTCTGCCACTCAGATGTGTGCCCAAGGAATCCTCACCCATTTCTTTTCTGGATGTGGGCCCATTTGGGCCATTCTCAAAACCTGACAGTTTTTCCACTACAAGTCCTAGATCCTGTCTTTTTTTTATCTGATGTCCATGCTACTTTTGTCTCACATTCCTCTGCAACTTTCCTGATGATCCACCTTCATTCAAGGCCAAATCTGTACTGGGAAAGGTCTGTGAGTACAACAGACTATGCAAAGAGATAAACACATCCTTACACTGCCACATTGGCTCCATCCATCCTGCCCATCACCCCCCAATACATGAGTTATCTCTCCTCTTGTAAACCAAACACAAGCTTGATTTCTCACAAAAAAAAACAAAAAAAAAAACAAAAAAAAAAAAACAAACACCAAACCTGCAAGTGGACAGGGGCCTGGAAAGCCCACAATGTGTGTTAACCTTCCTTTACCAGGACAGTGCTACCCAGGAGGTATAACTTCCTTGTAACACCATGGCCAACTTACCCATCTATGTCTTCAGTCTCCTTATGTATTTTTTTTACACCTCCGCTCACTCAGTTTTTCTGGTTTAAAAGGCCACTGTATTCATTGCTTTTTCATTCAGCTTCATTTTTTCCCATCCCAGGAAGACTGCAAGTCTACAAGATATCAATATCACATTTTTATCCAAGCCTAGTCTCTAAACCCACTTGTTTAGCTGAATCCCAAGCAAACTTAAATGTATTTATGGACAGGAAGCAGTTTTCTTTGTTCCCAAGACCACAGTCACAGCTCATGTGAAGTGCTGCACAGTCCTAGTGGCCTGAATTCATTCATATTTCTCTATGCACCAGACCTTGGTCTATAATACAAGGAAAATAAAGCCTTCCCCGTCACTGGCCAGAGAGCACATAGCAGGCAAGGACATGTCAATTCTACTTCTGTTTGTTAAAGCCACTCACTGCATCTTGCATTAACCAGACGAGTGGTTCTCAACATTTCCTTGGCTCAGGCATAGCTACAAGTGCGTAATTTTTCATCACATACCTACCCCTATTTGCCAATATATCACACCACCACGTCTTAAACCAAGCCTATTCTTACCTAGAACTTCGGGGTGCACCTGACAGAGCAGTGAGGCATACCTTGCATACCTGCTAGTCATCCAATTACAATTTAAGCTCCTCAGCAAAGGGCCTTTTCCACCTTTTGTTATACTACTGCTTTCATATGTAAATACAGTGGAGCTTTCGTTCTCTCTGGGTACGGAGGCAATATATAACCATGCATCTGTGTGAATTCTCTGTATTTGAAACCCACAAGCATGAGGAGGACAGATAAAGTATTCTACTTTTGTTGTTGTTGCTGTTGTTTCACTCTAACTCCATTGCTTGGGGGAGAAATCTGTTTTAAAAAGAGGAGTGTGTAAGGACATTAAACTAACCCTGCATTTGTCACCAGAATCATAGCTTTCTTCTTCAAGTAAATGCAGAAGTTTTTCTGAATCATTAAGTACCAAATAAATGACTGAGAAAGAGGAAGAAAATACATAAAAGCCTGCATTATATGCAAAACAGGTGCTATGTGAGACATCATATTCCAAACCTGAAACTGAACTGAATTTTTTTATGTAATCCCTATGGCTAGGTACTAGTATTCTGAAGTAAAACGTGACTTTTGTCAGTTCACCTGAAATCTTAAAATCTTTTATTTCTGCATGTCCTAAAATGAAAACATACATATGGAAAAAACCTTACATTCTCTATGCCCTCAAAATCATTACATGGATGTCTTCAAATAAGCACCTTACCACAACAGGTACCGACATACTATGGAAAAGTGCGCAGAACACAATGTTCTGAAGGAGTGCTCATGGATACAGACCTAAAACAGCTCTAAAAGAAGTCGCACGAGGTGCCAATAGCTGGAAAAACAAAATTATTTCTCACAACCAAATTTTTCCATTTCTAAGGCAAGAAACACAACTTGAAGATCTGCAAGGTTTACTTTTAAATGTTGTGGGTTTGGAGTGGTTTACAATGCAGGTTTTGGTTTAGGGTGTTTCACTGTTTTCTAGTCACAGTACTGGGCAAATTAACTTACTGTAGCAGTATCAAGGGTAAAAAAAATCCTGTGATTAATCTGCTTTTTTCCCCCCATGATAAACAAAGTGCTGCAGACATCAGACGTCAATAAGAAACTGTCTGGGAAGAGATAATTTAAAAGGGCCTCTGAAAAAAGAAAGCAGCAGGGTGGTGTCTAGTCAAGGCATGATAAGTTAAGTTAGAAAACAAACTGGATAGTGCTGATACTAGAGCATGGTAACAGCACATAAGAATCTGGGCAAATACAACCAGAATGGTTATAATGTCATTGCAGAGAATGGGGAGAACAATAAACACACACAAAACATACTCAAGTTTGCTTGTACTAATGTTTTTCTATGAAAAATTAGTGGTTCACCTCAATTAAGTAGTTCTAAAGTCTTTTACTTCCATGTTGCAATATAAACCTGGGTTAACTAAGAACTTGTTGATGTGTGTGTTCAAAGCTATCTCTGTCTGTATTTATTATGTTTTCTCACAAATACAAACTGCAAAGACGTGTCTTGTGCTTCTTACATTTCTTTCTACGGTATGTGGCTCTCTTGCAGCATGCCAGTTTACTAACCAAGCCTGACTGGTGTTTAACATGGTTTTGAATGGCGCTCAAAAAGTAGCTTCCTATATAAAAAAATCTGTCTTATGTGTCATGATGAGATAATATAAAGAACTGAGTCACACCGTTCAACTTTACTGTAACTTCTCAGAATTCAGTGGGGTTGCTCCTGACTTTAAAAAGCAACAAAGTCAGGCCTCCCTTTTACAGGATTGTTTCCCAGGAAACTTTAGAAGTTAAGCTGCTAAATAAGTAGCTGTGTATCACAAGTTAATTCATGCTTCCCCCCTCCATTTCTTTAACAAAGAAGGTGCATGAATGAAAAGGCAGACAAAACTAATAAATAATGCATGGGGGAGTCAGGATATCCAACTTCCCAGAATTTTTCAATTCTAATTTTCGTCTCACACCTGTTTTACTTTCATGGAAACCCACTCATTTAAATAATTTTGTGCCTGACTTCCACTGGGTTTTGGAGGTTTTTTACCCAGAACTAGTTTTCTCTATATGCATCAGATCAGGCTGTTCACAAAAAACCCTGGAAAACAAAAATATTTTGCCTGTAAAACATCATCTCCTTTTTATCTTACATGAAAGACATTTTTCTGCTTCCCAGAGATACAATACACTATCCAATATTTAGCATTTTGGATAGGTCAAATACTTGTTTAAACATTTGGTACTGCTGTCATTACTCTTCCCTGTCAAAGTCTGCATCTGCAATATACCAAATAAAAACTGAGCCAAGATCAATTCAATGGACCTGTGAGAAAAAAAGAACAGTTAGGCAATATGGTCCTACCTTTTTAAGAAGGTGCTTGCAGAAGCAACATTGATCTGGTAACAAACTATCTATCCGTCTTTAAGGGGCAGGAGGCTATAATACCTCTAGAAATATGCCATAAAATGAGCCCTATGCTATCTGACCAAGGTCTTCTGCCCTCACAAACTTAAGACATGAAGAAGCCACTTTATCTGGTCTTCTGAGTTACATCTAGTTTACAGGGGCAGCTGGGGCACAGAGAGGCCAAATTCATATTCTTGGCTTCTGCAGCAACCCACATCTAGCCACCACCTCTTCCCATGTAAAGACATGTTCTGGTTACAGGACAGGTGAGAGTCCCCAGACCAGGTAAAAGCTGGAAGCATCCTGACAGAATAATTTCCAGCTCATGGCATCCTCCCTCTACATGCCTTGAATTACTTCTGGAAGTGACAGCTGCTGAGAGCACTGAAGCCCACCTGACCAACCCTACAGAAAACCTTGAGCATGCAGTGATATAACTGCAGATCCATTGATCAGTGAAGGACAACATGTTGAACTTTTGTGGCAATCACTGGACCTTCCACAGCCACACCAAATGTTCATGTTGCCCACAGGTCCTGCCATGTGAAGGAGAAAGACCACATGAGGTTCCACTCTCATTCACAAAACTTAAGTAACTCAACTAAAAAAATCTGGCTTCCTTGTTGAGTAAAAGTTCAGGTTATAAAGCAATTTTTATTCGGCCTTAATTGCACAGATTCCACATGGTATTTTTCATGTTGTTCCTAATCAAGATGAACTCACTGGTTATACTGTGTGCTTCATTTTGTTTTGCTTTTCAAACATAAGGAAAATATTGTCAACACTTTTCTGTTCCACAAATGGAAAGCATATCCCTTCCTCCACTCTAAAGGCATTTGAGTCACCCCTTTTCTTGTCAACACCAGACAGGTTGATTGCTGAAACTTGAAATGGAGCATGAAAATATTTTTCCAGAAGGACAAGAGCCTCCACTTGACAAAAAAATAGCAGACTGGTCTCAAAAGTGGTGAGCTTTGGAAAACGTTCAGTCTGCATACACGAAAGAGGAAAACCTCATTCCTGTGATAACTATTCCTACCAACAAAACTGGACAAGAATGTAGGTCTGGGATGGGCAAATTTTCCATTTGCAGATGAGCTGGGTTTGGACGCTAGCCATGGTGTCCTTCCTATTCAACTTCAGTTGCTTATCCTCTCATCACAAAGCCCATTCTTCCACAGAAACAACTGAAAAGATGTGGTCTTTGGTTGATGCTTTGGTACCTCTCTTTTCACATGGCTTGACCTAGAGAAAATCAAGCAAAGCATTCACCAGTCCCACATTAAACCACCTCTCCAGTCTATGATCAGAAGGTTTCTTTTCACAGGTTCACAAAAGACACTGACATGCTTCTGCTTCCACAGTAACCAGTCCAGGCTTGTGCAAGGAAGTTGCAGTTTAATTAAACCAGTTCAAAACCTGATGCTGTTAAATTAATGCTAAGTCTGTGGGAGGATAGATGTGATTTTGCCAAAGAATGCTTTCTACAGTTTTAACAGAAGTGGTAAGGAATGGATTTAGGCTAAATCAATATGCAACGTACTTCAACTGATATGTGTCCAAAAAATGCATTTGCACCAACATAATGAAATAGCTCAAGATTTTCATGCAGACAAGACTCAGAAGAAAATGTAACCATATTACACTTTAGGAATAATGTGAACATGCCTTGTTTTGTCCTTACCTGCTGTCAACGCCCTCCTCCACTGCCTCCAGGGGTCTGCCTCCCAGCACCTGACAGTTTTATTAACTGTCTCTTCCTGTCTTTCTTACCCTCAGGTACCCACTTGTTGGCAAGTTACACTCCCCTTTATCACCAAACCACCCCATTTGATGTAGCTCTCAAAACTGTAGCTTCCTGCACTTCTGGTAAGTTAAAAGGTTTCCTCTTCAGGGCAGTCCCAAGCTGATGTTCCACAAACTTTCCCCTATTTCCTCTACTTGTAACAGTAATAGGTACCGCAGCTTCAAAGTCAGCCTGGCTGGGTTTTCCTCAGAAACCAAAATATATCACTTCGGGCTCCGTGTCCAATGCTGTGGAAGTGTCAGAATGTGACTACTCCTTCTGTGAAGTCCATCTCTCTTCAGAGAGATGAATCACACACAGTGACTTCAGAGAGATGAAGTCACACACAGTGACTGAGCAAAAGTATAAAAAAGGCCATAAACCATATCTTAGCCTGGCATGATATCCCAGCATATGTTCAATCAGCTTCAGCCCACTGGTTTACACTAGAGTGGGGAAAGTGCTTAGGAAAAGGTCAGTTCTTACTTTTCTTGCTGTTCTTGTCCCTTCCCCCAGATACCAGCATGCTCAGGCCGAGGCTGAGATGCAGATCCTGAGGAATATTGTCTCCCCCACTGTGCCCAAGCTACCACCATGGCTGCATGAAAGCTGCAGGGGGGGCAGAGGGGATCTCTGGTGATGAAGCACTGGAAAACACACAGTGTTGAAATCATGATGTTCAGCCATTCTGAGGACACTAGGGCCAATATACAAAACAGGTTAGACAGTCTGGTATTAGACTGGCTGAACAGAGAAGACAGCTGACACCACTGGCTGACATTTTAACAAAAGGCTTGCTCTGATGCTTGATGTTGAATCAATGGCAAATTTCCCAATGGAAGTAGCCTCTGGCCACAAATGAGTAGTTAAGAATCCAGATGTGTACGGCACATACTGCTTCCTATGAGCTGTGGACAGCGCAGTCCCCATTGATTGCTGCAGTCAAAAACAAGCTGGAAGTGTCAAGCACATTAGAGTAGTACCAGTCATATAAATCCAACCATTCTAAATTTCAGGCAGTCTGTTTCTCCTGGGATACAGAACATGTTGTAAGCAAGTGCCCAGTTAACAGAAGGCATAAAATAGATTTGTCCCCCTCTCCCCTGCATAACAATGCTTAAAAGTGCAAGTTTTGGAACCTTTTTGTGAGAGAGCGGTGAGCTGAGGTAGGAAAAGTGGTCTCATACATTTCAGTGCAAAAGACAGCAGGGAAAAGGAAATTCTTTTGTGTGCCTCTCCTTTAAAGATCAGATACTTGGGAAAGTTGGTATGTTAGTACTCATTGTTAAGGTCTTCTTCAAAACTCAGGTTGTATCTTTTGAGTTCCTACCAGAAAATGTTCATGCCTATTTATTTATTTATTACAAATGTAAGCTACATTCAATTTTTTCTTATTATCCCTTTTAGAAAAAGAGACAGAGGAAGAGAGATTTCCACCTTCTCATTATTACAGAATACAAGGAATGCAATATTCAGTTCAAGAAGCTGAGAGATTATTGAAGAAATACAAAAGCAGCCGTTCCACACAAGTTGAACTCTGCCCTCGTGTGTGCAAACATTAAAATACACTTTCCACCCATCCTCTGGATCCCATTCTATTTTTGTGCAAAAGGATGCATTGGTTTATGACACTAATTATATAATTATAATTATGTATATAATTATATATTGATGCTGCATACCACCGCTTTGATTGTGACTACATGTACCAGAATGAGAATGAAGTTGAGGAAGGGATCCTCAGTAGAATATCGAGGAAGGCGTTGTGAAGCAAGAAGACCTCTTTGTTGTCAGTAAGGTAAGGGGATCTGATGATCTTCCAGCCTTGAGCAGGGGTGGGGGAGCACTTTGCCTATAGTATTTTCATAGTAGGATGCTTAAGTACTGGAAACAAACTTTATGCTGCATGATAAACGGATACAAGCTGGCTAATTCACCTCATTCTGTACTGAGTGTTAGGAAGGATATACACCTATACCTCTGCACCCAGCTGCTGCCTGGCACTCTGCTGAGGAGACCCAGGAGTACTAAGGGGATGGATGAGGAGGAGTGTGCCTTGTTTTGGTTTTTCTCTAGCTATGGTGCACATTTCATGACAAGCTTCTGGGCAAGGGAGTCTGCCAAAAGACTCTTGCTGCCCTGAAGCTGGATTACCTGGATCTCTACCTCAACTATTAGCCTTTTGGATTCAAGGTACAGTAACAGCAATGCCCTTGGCTTTCACTACTGGAAGACCTCCTCAAAATGGCTAGTAACACTTGTACCACTACTGCTGCTCCAGTCCCGAAAGACCACATGTCTGTTGTGTGCGTCAGCACTGCTCCAGTGCCACTCATTCAGCTTTACTCTGGCCATGTGAGCCAGGCTCTTGTTCTCTTCCCAAGACCACTGCTTGCACAGCATCGTCTGCCCTTTTGATTGTGGGAGAGGCAGATTTAGCACCAAGATCTACAGCTGCAAGCATAAGCTATGCCACTTTCCCTTTCTTCTACAAATCCAAAGCATGCTCATCTGAAAATTACCCCTTGTGGGAAAGAGGGCTGTGCTTTGCTGCCTGACAGAAATTCTTTCCTTTGCATGTTACATAACTGCAGAGCCAAAGAAAATGCTTCTGTTTTCCATTTCTCTTTAATCACCAAGTACTAAATACAGTCCAAATTGAGCTGACCTTGCCTGTAGAAGCCTTAGTGTTGTTTCACAGATCTTGGATTGCAAAAAATGCAGCTTTTCAATACCAAACTCTCGCAGACTACATGTACTTCAAAGGATTTATGTCTATTTGTATATACATACATATACCATTAGCCTTTCCCTTCTGCTACATCCAGATCAAAATCTCTATTCCATCTCATGCTTTTGAACTCAACTTTATTTCATTCTCTCCATATTATTTTAGTTAGCGTTATGTGGACAAAGCTGTCAAGTGAAAGTGCATAATACCATGGCATATAGAAAATTCCAATAGTTCAAAACACTTCGGCCATACTGTCTAGTTACAGGCTCTTCTAACTTTCCTAATAGAGCAACTTCATCAGTGAGCCTCCCCACGGGAAATCTGGCAGCAGTACTTTGTCAGAGGTGTACTCCAGTAGAAATGTACATTCATGGGACCATGTATTTCTTTAAAAACAACTAAAGAAGCTATTATTCCTAAACATGTAAAATGGAACAATACATGAACTGAACTCATGTAAGATTCCAGGATATTGTTCTATGAGTTAATCACTTCCCTGCATGTATTTTGTGGATCATCACTTCAATGGGTTCAGTAGAAATACCTCTTTATTGGGATAGTAGGTGGCAAAAATGCCATGACCCTTCATGAACTAAGAATGAGAAATAACTGAAGAATTAAGTTATACTTCAGGGTTTTTTTTCACGCACTGTCAGTTCTAGCTCCTTATATTCCTGTTTGGTTATTTTATATAGCTAGCATTCCAATTGAGAGTATTTCAAGTATTTTCTCTCCCACTGACAGGCAGAAAAGGAGCTGTTTCCCAAAATGACAAAGGCATGTCTATACCCAGCAACACAGATGTTCTACAGACATGGGAGGTTAAGTTCAGCCACAGCAGAAGAGACATGGGCTATAGCCTCACCAGCCTCTTCCACATTTTCATTACCTTCAGTACTCACAGAAGTGTTGTCTTATGCATACAAAATCAGTTGGAAGGAACATAAGGCAGTACAAAGTAGCTTTTCATAATGTCCACACTTAGTCATTACCTAGTTATTCCTATTCCCTGAGCACTTTGACTGCCTGACCCATAGTGAGCTGCACAGTCACCTTCAGTGGAGCTGCAAACAACACTCAGGTTAGAAAAAGTTCACTGCTTGACCACAAGTGTACCACTGGGTTCACCATAGTTCTTGCTTCCTTCTTGAATTCCTCAAAAACATTTTACAGAAATAAAGACATTTTAGGTTGAGATCTTGCTTACAACGTGGAGCAGCACCCTCCCATGCTGTTTTGCCAGCTCATCAAATTAATAGCCAAAACCCAGAATTATCAAAGACTAAAGTCGTCAAATAACTCTTGAGGAGATGCAGAGGTGGTGGCAGGATCTCAGAAGATGCTCCCGGATTGATGTGAACTCAATATAAGAAAGACACCAAGGTCTTAGAATTGTATTAAATCTCTAACCTCTGCCTGCATTCCTGCCTTAGCAAGTGTCTGGAAGGTGAATCAATGCACACCATTTAGCAAGATAAATATCCACTTTCAGTATACTTCTTTCCCAAAGGTCTTACCATCATCTGACAATCCCAGCCATGCCTTCAGGACAGAGAAACAACTGACATCTGGAGAAAGTGTCAAACCGACAGGTACAAACAGCAAAGCAAAATACTAACCTTCTGCCCAGAGAAGACCCCTGGTCTGATCCATATTCAGATGCCATCATGTTTCAGTCTTCCCAGCAAACAACAAAGCAAAATGCAAACCTTCTGCTGCAAATCC